GAACATGTATGTTTATCAATAAAAGTCCTAACTTGAAACATTTTGCAATCTTTTATTCTCTTTGCAATCATACGCCACGTACAGTTTTTGTCAATCATACACCTTGTTTCGAAACGATCTTTGCTTGATTTGTTAACTTTTAGTTGATAGCCATCTTCCACACATTTCGTATACAAAGCTATCTTCAAGTCTTCCTTTGTATCAAAACAATCATCTTTCTTGACACGAATAACTTTTGTGTAACAATCAACTGCTTTCTTTGCCAACTCTTCTTCCGGTAACTGAAGTAATTCTGGCATATTCCAGTTATACTCCCGTGGCATTTTCTTTTCTTCGGGGACTTTTTCTTCTTCTTTTTCTTCTTCAGGATTATATGAATTACAGAATGGATGTTCAACATGTTCATTCACAGTCGTAACTTCCTCCTCATTATCATCAACAACATCTTCCTCGGCAACGGGTGTTTCATCATCAAAATTCGGGTATTGACCAATATGAAAATCATTACACACATGGTCTGTTTCTTCTTCTGAAACATCATCAAAATCCGTGTATTGACCAATATCAAAGTCCGGATATTGACCAAGACCAAATTTCGAATACTGACTAGTACTCACAATTTTTTCTGTTGGCTCATCATCGTCTAACTGGTCAATACGAAAACCGGAATTTGGTGCTGAAAGTTGATTGGGATTTGGATTAGAGAAAGGTTGTGGGTTTTGAGAAAAACTTAGTTGATTACTACCCGCTACTGACCCAACAATACTACTTCTAGGTTCAACAACATACAATGTAACATCATCTTGTGAAACACTAATGTAAGCAATGAATCGTTCAACATCTTCATTGTCGGTTAACAAATAAACTTTACCATTTCTCTGATAAGATAGCCTAAATCCACTTAGGGGCTCTAAATTCAATTTATTTGAAACACGTAGCATTAGAGTTTCATAAGTTAACTTTTGTAAAGACAATTTTAGTTGAAGATTCATGGGTAAAGGCATATATTGTAAAACACCATGAACATTATCCCATGACCCTCCAAAACACAAATCTATCCAAACATGATCAACATTAGATGATTTCATGGTTGTAAATTAATTTACTAAACAGACGAGTGCGAAACTAAAACCTGTTGCCGGATTGGGAAGGATGTCGTTGGATATAGGAACGGATGTCGCCGGAGAGAGTGATAGATGGAGATGGAATGAGTTGCGATTTAGGGATTTAGTTTATGATTTCAGTGTTATATACCCAAAATTTCAGTGTTGTGATTTACAGATTCTCGTTGCGATTTACGGATTATCGTTGCGATTTACAGATTCTCGTTGTGATTTACGGATTATCGTTGCGATTTACAGATTCTCGTTGCGATTTACGGATACGCGTTGCGATATACGGATACGCATTGCGATTTACCCATATGCGTTGCGATTTACGGATACGCGTTGCGATTTACGGATACGCGTTGCGATTTATGTGTTCGCGTTGCGATTTTCATATTCGCGTTGCGATTTTGGAAAATCGCAATGCGAATTTGTACTATCGCATTGCGATTTTCAAGAATCGCGTTGCGATTTTGGAAACTGATTTGCGATTCTGGGGATCGCGTTGCGATTTTTATTTCGCGTTGCGATTTTGTTGGTCATTTTGGCAAATCCAAAAAAAGTTGGTTAAAATCGTATATTATAACTTTTTTTTGGTCACTGAGGCGATTTTCTCTAAAATAAAAAGGGGAATTGAGTGAAGACGCGAGGTAATCTTAGAGTCTTCTCTAAATTACTGTTCAAAACACTTTAGTCTAGAAAATAATTGCTTGAGTGGATTATTTGAGGATTTTTTTCCCGAACACGTTATCTCAGTCATTTGCCTGAGATTACACTTTTGATATATTATGCCCCAAAGCCCACCCATAGCAATTAAAATCAGGCCAAATCTGATTTGTTTTCCCCAAGGAAAAGTTACATCGTTAGTCCTACGCATTTCCTCCCACATTTGTAGTTACCCCCTTAGCATCATCAATTGGATTCAATTCTACCCCCCCCCCCAAAAACCCAATTAGGCCCAAACCTTCATTAACAAGCTAAAGATACTTTAAATTATCATCTACTAACTATGGCCAACTCTCAAATGTTGACTTGAAATTTTTAGATTGTTACAACGTTACTCAATGATTCTTATTGAATCTGTGAAGTTGTATGAGAGCATGATACTTTTAGTTCATTAATACAATGAGTATTGGTTAAATGTTAAGTTTAAAGTGTAACTAAATGATTAATTTTCTTGAAAATCTGCCTATCATGCTAATTCTTGATTTTACGCATCATTTGTCATGAAAATTGGAGTGCATATAGTCCGTAGCATACATAACTTGTTCATTGAAGTTTTGATTATGTTTTGGTGCTTGATATATGAGTTTGTGTTGAGAACTTATCAAATTCTGCAAAATTTTTATATTTGTAAGTTTTATGTGCTGAAAGGATATCGATACTATTGATTTGATTTTGAATTTTAGAAATATCAAACTTGAACTGGTCAGTACCTGAATTGGGTATAAATACTAAAGTACAAGTATCAATATCAAATATTAAGTACCAATACATTTTAGTTAAATTTATTTTTTAAAAGATCAAACCTCAAATTGGTAATTGATACCTTATATAAGTATCAATAGGCATTTACGTGCATCGGTACTGATTGTTAAAATGGTATGGAATAGTTCTTTAGTTCTTGAATCTTGAATGAATTTCTTTCATGTCCTCGTCTTTGATATGTTAAGGAAAGTAATCCTTGAATGATTTGTTGAATAACATACTATTTTTGGATGTGTAATTCGAATCTGATTCAGGCCTATATCATTTTGTTATTAGAATATAGTATCTTTTATTTGTGTTATGCCTGTTACTGGAATCTGATCCAGCCTTTTACCATTGATGTGCCTGATATTAAAGGATAATTAACTTTGCCCAAAGGCACCTCCCTCAATTCAATCTCTTTTCACTACAACTTTCCCAAATCGCATCTGCCGGTTCTCAAGAGTCAATAGCCTAATCAAAGAAACAATTATGAATGTATTTCAACGTTTAACGATAACATTATCTTAATGGTATCCACCTATAATTCATCTGTATACTATCATTTGCCACTATACCCCTTATTTCCTTTCCATGTTATTAAAATCATTATACTAAAAATAGATCTAGAATGATTATTTTAATTTAGTTAATATAATTTTTATTACAATATATAACCATTTTCTTTAGGTTGATAAAATAAATGAGTTGTGGTGACAGTTGGCGATTCTCCACTTTTGATTTGGGATGAAAACTGCAGTTAGTGCAAAAAAAGTCGTTAGTCGATGATTCTCTGTAAGAAGAAAGAATAAAAGGATGATGCAAGAGATAAGAATAATGTTGATTTCATAGCTAACAGAGAGAAAGTCTCCCCATAATCTTGTTTGATGGACTTTTATGATAATCCTTTAACTAATGCATGTTAGTAGACTGATAGACTATATATATATATATATGATTGTCGACTATCAAATTTGATTCAAAGGTCATGTCAAATATTGAGCGGTGTAGACTATAGAGAATGCTCTCGGCTAAGGATGATTTTGAACGATATATTATCTTCGTGATTTTGTAGGGGAAAATTTAATAATTTTCAAAAGATATTTATAGAAATTTAACACTTTCATATTTTATATTTGATGACCAATATAAAAAAAATAAATGAGATAAAGATTGCTAAAAAAAATATTAGGGTCTGTTTGGTTCTAGAAAATATTTTCTATTTTTTTTGTTTCTGTTTTCAGAAAATAGTTTTTCATTTTCAACTTTTTGAAAATTAAAAAACATGTTTGGTTAATATAAATAAAAACTTTAATTCAAAACTAAAATAATAAAAATGTATGTTGTATCTAATTTCTTTAAAATAAAAAAACTATTACATAAATTTAACATGTGAATTATGTAAGTATAAAACAATAAAATTGATAAGAAATTCCATAACATAAAATTTATTTTAACTTATAATAAAAAATATAATGTTAATGCATATTGGACATCAATTAAATTTAAAAAAAAATTATTATAAGCAATAGCACAAAAAATGTCATTAAAATAAAAAAATATGTTTAGTGTTGGTTGAGACTCTCAAACTTTTGGGAAAAAATAATTAGTGTAGTCTGTGAATGTTTCTTTGCACCAAATATGATTCTTAAACTTAGAAAAATTTAATTTAACCCTTTAAATAGAGGAATCAAATGTTGACAGCCGCGACGCTTACATGATAGTTCATAAACGTACATTGCAATCTACAATTTTGATGGGACAGTTCAAGATATTGTTGTGGTAATACTCGATGGACGATGATGTGGTAGATGGACTTAATTGATTATTAAAAAGTTTGAGGACTTATTTAATTTAAATAATTAAAAAATTTATTTAGATTAATAATATATAATATACAAAATTATTAAGATATTCAATACATTAAATATAAAAAGCTACAAACTTAAATTATCAAAAAAAATTAATTTAAGGACTACTTTGAGTGTAAAAGAATTTAGGGACCATATTGTTTTTTTTTTATAAAAATTTGAGGGTTTCAAATATCATTAAATAAAAAAATTATTGTTATAATGATTTAAACTTGGGTAAGTCAAGTTAAAAATTAGGATATCATGTTTCCTTATTTTTCAAATTTTCAAAATAATTTTAATAAAAATACTGAAAACATATTTTTTATATTTTTACACTTTCATTTATTTATTTTTTTAGAAATTATTTTTCTAATATTACAACCAAACATATTTTCTTTAATGTTCTCTATTTTATATAAAAAAATGATAAACCAATCTTTCTTTGTTTATTAATAAATACATGAACCCAAAGTGACAAAGTGTTTTTATAACTATAAACCCCTCTTATAGGGAAGTTTCTCCCTATTCTCTCTATATTTCTTTTTCTTTCTCTCAATATATCTCCATTATCTTTCATTTAGAAGCAGGCATTCTCTATAAACCTGAAGCCCCATGGCTAAAACCTGTATCTCAAACTGTATCAATGACACAAGGTTCCCCCTCCCAGTGAGGCCAACCTACGTGAACCTCTATAAGTGGCCGGAATCCGATGCCGAGTTCGTACGGTCACTGAGCTCCGACCGGCGCAGCAATGGCGGCCGTCCACACCCCACGGTCGTTGATAGCATCTCGTGCAGGCAAATATACCTGAGGAGCTACACGTTTCACAGGAGCAATCAGGCCGAGACTGAGAAAACAAAATGTTTTGGCAGATCAGTTGATAAGAAGGATATGAGCCGTAGAAGGAAAAACAAATCCAAAAGTGTTGCCAAGAAGAAGTGTGGGGCTCTAACAAGGGCCAAAGAGGTGTATTGTGCCGCCCTCTTGGCCATGTTCCGGAGGCTGTTGGCCTGCACTTCCAAGGTTGATGTGGCTGATCATCATGGACATTGAACATATCATTTTCCTTTTCTTTTCTACATGTTAATTTCAGCTTTCTAGAGCTTCCTTTTTCAGTTTTTAAATAACTTTCTAATAGCATTAAATTTTTTTATTTATTTCATGCCTTTTCTTTGTTCTTCCATTATATATTATTTTTGTTCTTTGTTAATGGATTTTGGTAATCGGTGATACCATGATATGTTAATGGCTAAAGCGCAGAAAGCATTTTCGACAACTGATTTTAATTTAAAGTTAATATTTAGTTGGAGTTCAACCGTATGCAATTTCACCACCAATAACTAGTCAATTTCCGATCAATCATCGACTATAATTTTTCTTCTAAATTAGGAGTGAACCATCAGCAATCAATACAATGATCTTGTTCTTATTAATACTATTTATATCTGATATTAATATTCAACTTCAAATTCAAATATTGTATTTGGCCGCAGGAAATTATTTTAGAATCACTGATTCTGGACGATGATAAGGTGTGCCATACTTGGTTGACACACTTGGGAATTAAGATTCAAGGGCTGCTACAACATTCTTTATCATAAATAAGGATATGATAAGAAGCAAAGTCTACAGGATAAAATAACTGAATATTAATATAATTCAACTTATAAAAATGGGGTTCTTATTTATTAGTTAATTAACTTTGATGGGGTTCGAATTCATATAACAACAAAATCAAGAAAATATGAGCCTGGCCTGGGTGGGCATGGACACTAGAAGACTTTAGTCTAAAGTCAAAGAAAATCACAATTACTAGTAAATGAATCAGTACATAATTTCATGATACATGTTACAAATTTATATATTGATTATAAGAAAAACAAATTATCTATTGATTATGTGTTAAATAATATATGTTTTTGGGTAAAACATATTTACCCTTGAGATTTGGTAAGCTCTTCTAATTTAGGTCCCATTTTGTAATGTTGTTTAAAGGTTTGTTTTAATCGTAAAACTAATGTCAAACAGATAAAAATTGAAAAAAACAAATACAATAAAAATGGTAGTTTCAAACCAACCACAAAAGCTATAATTTTTAGCCTTTTTATTTCAGCTTTGCGTTTAGAAGCAAATTTATATGTTTATCCTTATTAATGCATGGACTCCAGTTAACTATGTTTTTACATTTTATTTTAATAATTTAATACAAACGTCCTTAAAAAATAATTTATTTTAATTATTTAAAAATAAATAAAATTTATTATTTATATATTAAAATATTAATAGTGAGTTATAAATAATATATTTTTATTATAATTATATTTTTTATATTTTGTTATAGTTTAAATTGATATAATTCATATATAAGTATAAATATAATTTAAATGTTATATTTTTAATTTACAACATAATATCTATAATTGACATTTTATCTTTTCAAACTTACCTTTTAATAATAATTCCAAACATCTAAATTTTAAAATTGTGCTTTTGAGCAATACTCTTAAAAGTTCTTTGATACAGCACTTTTAAAAAATCATTTTTCAAAAGCAATATCAAACTGACCGGTAGACGACCGCCTTAGTTGTATTTGAGCTAAGAATGTGACTCTTCTGATCGGTTAGGTTTACATATAAATTAAATAATTTAAAATATTTACTTCGTTGAAACTCAGTTATAAAAATATATAAATAATAATATAAAATCTTTATTATGCTACTTTCAAATAAAATAAATAATGAGATAATTATACATTTTTTGGTGGAAACATGTTTCCCCATATTATATATAATTAATTTAAAAATGATTAAAAATAATTAATTATATTTTATCATCTTAATTAAAAGTTATGGAATAAAAAATGCTAAAAATTAAAATATTTTATTATTAATAAATAAATTTATTATTTAATAATGAGATTGTGTAAAAATTATTGTTTTACATAGTTTACCTATTTTAATCCTAAATTCTAGAATTTGAATCCCTAAATTTTAAATTTAGACTCTAAATCTTAAATTCTAACTAGGACAAATATCATTAAATATATATATATATATATATTAAAGTTTAAAGTTTTTTAGGGTTTATAGTTTAAGGATTGAGGTTTATGGTTTATAATTTAGATCTTAGAGTTTATAATTGAAATTTTTTAGGTTTAAAGCTTTGGATTTTAGGATTAATATTAAAATAAATAAACAATATAAATTTTACATAATCTATATATAAAATAATACTTTTCTGTATTAGAAAATCAATTAATTTTTATTACACTTCACTGGATAAATAGTCATTTTTCAAATTAGGAGAAGATGAGCATTTTTTTATCAAATAAAGGGGGGCGGGGGGGGGGGGTTGAATACTTTCCCAGTATGCTTTCTTTTGACTCTTCCATGTATTGAAAGGGTCAGCACCCGTTGTGATTATGAGAGGAAGAAGTAATCCAAAGGAAAAGATGAAAAAAGAGGTTTTGAGTATCCATCATACTATCACCAATCATGAAAAAAAACCCTAATGTATTTAGTGTAAAAATGTCCAAAAGATGGTATGTAACTTACAATGCAAGTTTACTTTGCATTAATCGACTCTGGATTTTATATCTTTCTCCATCCTTCTTTATTATATACTAATGATTTATAAACATGGGATGTTATTATAATCAATTAGCTTAACTTATAATGGTTTTTAATTTTTAACTTTAAAATTGATATTTGCGTTTAATATACATTCAAACATAAATTAAGGATTATAATTTTTAAATATATTAAAAATTTAAAAAAAATCTTAATATATACATATCGAATATAGATGCTTTTTGAATACGTATTTACAATGCATAATAAACTACGTAGTTATCAATTATCAAGAAATTCTACATGGATTATCAAGTGCTAGCCTGTTTTTTGTGGCCCCGTTATGATGAAGTTGACATAATTGCAATTTCTTGTGATGATAATAATGGGATTGTAGGTAAAATGTGTGAGGTATGATGTTCTGAAGAGAAACTTTTTAAAGATGAAAATTTAATGAACTGCAGAAAGAATGGAAACTATGCAATGTTCTGAAGAGTAACACTTACTTGGAGTAGTATAAAATTTGGCTGTGAGAAGCTTTGAAACTACTGCAGCAGCTTGTTGAATCATTTCAAGTGGGCTTTCATCATGACCAGCCTGCTCTACTCCCAAGACTGTACCGGATATAGGGCAGTCATTCTAATTAAAATTTTTAAATTATTATACATTTTATATTTCTATTGATATTTTGTTTTCATTTTCTTAAAATTTCACAAACTTGTACTCTTTGAAATTTTAGATATCGGACCCACTAACAGAAAATTATATTTTTGTCTCTGAGCACGAACCAAACAACTAAATCTCTTAAGGTTTCGGATTCGAGTACCAGAGGTACAGACGTTCGTTGACAAATAGTTGAATCTTTGATTAGATACTACCTTGTATTTATCCTAAATTAATTAAAAAATTGCGTCCGCCCGAGTCTAGATCCCGAAAAAGTATGGCAATTTGGTGCATGTGCGTTCATCATTTGTTGCTGTTTCTGCTACTGCATCCTGTTCTCTAATGGGTGATGAATTAAACACTGATGTATAATCTTATTCTCAAGGTATGACTATACCAAACTTCATTTTGTTCTAATAATGTAATTTCTTTGAATTTAGAAATTCAAGGGTGAAAGAGATTCATAAACAAATAAAGCAGTGACTCAGTGATTCACTCACTGATTGGCCAATTTGCATTTCTGTACATGAAAGTGGTCACAACTCTTTATGCAAGTTCATTTTAGAACAAAGCTTCAACCTGGCTTGTCGGATGACTAACCAAAGAAACCAGCATAATACATGAAAAAACAAAGGAACTCGAACATTCGACCTTTCGAAACAAAGTAAAGAAAATTTAGTTTATCTACTAGGATGTTGCAAGCATTGGTGGATCAGCGAAAACCATATAATCATTTGTTTTATATATCATATATTCACCTGCCTTCGGACTTCACCAGTTGCGAGAACACTTTACTCATTGAAGCACCTGAGAGGTCATCTACACTTGACAGTTCAAACCGAGCAGACGAAACAGTGGGATCAAGCTGACTGAAATCGTTAATTTGCGGAGAAAGATCGCCGATCATGTTCATACTGTTGTCTTCGGGATCGCCTTGAACGACAGCCTCCTGAAGTTGAAGAGCATACTCCAGGTTCCATAAGACATCCCCCATGGAGGGCCTGTCCACTCCAAAATCAGCTAAGCATTTCTCAGCAGTTTCTCCAAACTTCCTAAGGGAATCAGGCTTGATGTTTCCTTTGAGATTAGGGTCAATTATTTGCACCAACTGTCCTCTTTTCTGCCATTTCATTGCCCATTCAGCTAGATTTACCATTTCCCTTTGGAGAGTTGGGTCTATCACTGGCCTAGCACAAAGAACTTCAAACAAAACCACTCCAAACGAATACACATCGGATTTCTCCGTCAGTTGTTGCCTTCTGAAATATTCTGGATCCAAGTACCCGAAGCTTCCCTTCACAGCTGTACTGACATGAGATTGATCAATTTCAGGACCCGTCTTTGACAGCCCGAAATCAGCAACTTTGGCCATGAGATTCTCGTCAAGTAAAATGTTCGCAGACTTCACATCACGGTGAATAACTGCTTTAGCATAGCCTGTATGAAGGTAATGGAGTCCTCTAGCTGCTCCAATGCATATTTCAAGCCTTTGTTTCCAACTTAAACTTGGATAGCCTGAGCCATACAGATGACTCTTGAGTGTCCCATTCTCCATATATTCATAAATCAATATCATCTCATTCTTTTCATCACAATAACCGATCAAAGACACCAAATGGCGGTGGCGGAACTGGGATAGCATCTCAATTTCAGTCTGGAATTCGGCAAGTCCTTGTTGGGACCGGGGATTTCCCCTTTTAACAGCTACTTTTGTACCATCATTCAGCTCTCCCTTGTACACCTTACCAAAACCTCCGATCCCAATAACCCAACTTTCATCAAAGTTTTTGGTGGCTTCTTGAACAGCTAGGAAAGGAATGTGATACCCTGTATTCGAATTGAGACTGGCAGTCGTTCCTTTGGAGTATTTGCTCCCCATGGTGTGTGAAGTTCCTCCATTAGTTGAAAAAGGAACCCATGTCTTCGATTCCCTCCTGCATGCCAGTTGTCTTCTTTGTCTCCAGAACATAAACAAAACTCCTGCCAACAGCACTCCAAAAGCCACCCCAACACTAACACTGACTATAGCGCCAACTTTCTTCTTTGAACTTGAACGAGAAGTACTCGCAGTTCCCGAGCCTGTAAGGCTGCCATATGAATTGTTCAATTTCATGATTTCAAGCCCATTTAGTATAGCATCAGGGTAAACATCATGTAAATCCGATGGACCGATGCTTACTCGAAGCTTATTCGTTACGGCTGAATCTGTAACATAATCCATATAATATGCAGCAGCCAAAACATTAACCAAGTAAGTACTGAGATCAAGGTCCCGAACAACCATAGAGGAGTCAATGAAAACATTGAAATACAGCTGATTAAGAGAATAGCTGACAATATCACAAAAATGAAACCTAACAAGGTAATGAAATCCCGGATCCACATTGAATTCCCAGGTCACATTGAAGTTGCTATTAGGATCGCCTAAGGAGTTCATCTTGGTGCAGGTACCATAAACAGAAGCTGGAGCAATCTCTGGTGTTGATCCACCATCAACATACTTAACAGATCTAATATTCGATACACTTGAGGCAAGATTCTTTTCAATAAGAAAACTCTGATCAGGCACCCATGTCCGAGAAAGTGTATCGTTGTCGAAGGAGACCATCGGTCCTCCCATATTCACCCTAGCAACCGTCTCTAGTGCCTGCCACATCAAGCCTTGGAACCCCATCGACGGTTTAACGGTACGAGCATCGTCCAGAATGAGCCGATCAGGGGCCGAAACAACTTCTAAAGCATTTATAAAAGCAAATGAATTCTCTGAAGGAGTGAATGTGATTGTGAGGCTGTTGGTGGTTACATTAACAGAGAATTCTTTGACAAGAGGTGCTCCAACACTGAGACTGCTGAGAAGGACATGGTTTTCAGTGGATACGTCGAACCTAGCCAACCTCAAATCATAACTAGCATAAACAAATGGATAGAAATAAAGGCGAATCCAATGTCTTCCTCCTTGGCTGATAGAAAAAGTGTACTCAGATACACCGGTAAAGATTCTTGCTGTTTCATAGAGCCGTGAAACAGCGGAAGAGGTAATCGATTTTGAAGTGTTTCCAACAACACCTTGTGGTGCAGAAAGGAATTTAGAGGCAAACTCATCAGCCATGAAAACTCGACCACCTATTGTGTTATTATTAGGTGATCCACAATCAATAAGGTAGTTGTCTGCAGGTTTAAACCCTCTAGCAGAGCATGCAAAACATAGGACTGATGAAACCCAGAAAAGCAATTCAAACATCTTACAACCCATCATCGCAAAATCCTATCAAGTAACAGAACGCCAAAGTTTGAATCTTATTTGTGCTTAACAGGCACCAAAATCCTGGGTTCTTAGATAAACAACTGATAAATAGCAAACAATAATACAGATAAAAAAACAACCAAGAGATCTTAATAAGGGAAGACAATAAAATAGCAAAGGAACTGAATCAAAGAAATGAAAGATGGAACCTTTGAAGTTCAGAGAAGATGAGAGGAGCCCCCTGGCATACAGATGAAATCTTTTACGCAGCTATTTCGGATTTTTGCAGAGTTTCCTTGATACGCTCCTAGTTTTTATGTTTTCTTTTCCCATTTTTGTTCATGTTCTTAAATAAACAGGAAACAAATAGTCTAATGGTGGTGAAAGAAAGATATAAATAAGCAGCACAAGTAATAATAATAACACGCACAAAAAGACTGTTCAAATGTAAATTTCTGGAATGGTAAATCAGCCTTTGGATGTAAAACGAGTAGAACCAAAACAATGGCAGAGAAGAGATAAGGGAATATTTAAAGTTTGGAAATTTAAGGAGAGAGCTTTTTAGTGTGGGTTTTAATGGGGGTGGGTAGAAGAGTTTATTGAAACTAAAGTAACATAAAGATTGTTTACTCTCCATACTGCTAGTGGGGGTTTCTCAACGGTGACTGGGAAAAGGAAATAGCTTTCCTCTTTAAGTCTTTTAATGGATTGACGTCAAATTCAAGGATAAAGGAGATGAGAATTAAAAGTTGGAACTGAAATTGAAAAGATATGAAATGAAATAAATTGTCGTAGGTGACATTTTTCAAGTGCATGAATCAAAGTGTTTTTCTTTGGATTTTTTTCTTCTATTCGTATAATAATAAAGGTAAATTGTACGTCTACTATCTAAACTACAATTTTGATTTGTTTTAATACTCAAATTTTTAAAATCATGTCTAACGCTTAGTTTTTGTTTCATATTACTACTCAAATGTTAAAAACTTAACATATTTCGTATCTAAATTATCAGTTTTGATTCATTTTAATACTTGAACTTTTAATTTTTTTTTTCAAAATTTAACGTTAAATTTTGAACTAATGTACTAAAATGAAATAAATGCTAAACTTTAAATATGATTTTAAAAAATTAAAAGTTTAGGTATTAAAATAGATCAAAACTAATAATTTAGGTATTAAACGCGTAATTTATCTTAGTAATAATTGGTATGGTGAGGCTCGAAGAATTCATTCAAGAATAAATTCTTAGAAAAATAACAACTATATCACCCAACAATAAAAAGAAAAATAGAAGTGAAAACCTAAGGAGCTATAAGCATATCGAGCAAAAGAAAGAAATACTATGTAACATCCTAAATTCAGTTTGTTATGTTATATTAGACCATCAAAGCGACTAATATTTTAAACAATATTTCTCTTAATCGAAATATGAAACCGAAAATAAGATCGAATATAAGATCAACCATAAAATTTATAGGAACATGTGAAACCTATTTATAAATCGGAGCTTTGTTTACAAATATTTCTCAAAATAAAATTTAAAATATAAATAGGGTTTACAGATCAATTACATGTAAAAATTCTATGTATACATGTGTATGTTATAGTATTCATATAGTATACCCTAAAACAGATGTTGAAGATCTTGCGAAAATGGTGTTCCACAAACTGTTAAAGTCCATTAATCTACAAATAAAAATATTTGAACATTCAGCTTCACAAGCTAAATAATAATATAATATATATATTATGAAATTCATAAGCGTAAACATGCTAGTAAAATAAGCAATGAATAATTGTTGAATAAATGTTTTGATATAACAATAAATTATAAAATATTTTGGACTTATTTGAATTTGTTAAAAATTTATAAAAAAATAATTCAAAGTTCAAATTAACTTGAAAAATATGTTTCAAATGTTTTTCAACTTAGTCGAACCTTTTCAAAAACTTACTCGACCGTTTTTGCGCTTTAAAGTCGAGTTTCCAAGGATTTTTGGCTTAAAGGATCGATCCCTTAAATTCCAATAAGTTTTAGATCGATCCCTTCACCAATTGATCGATTCCTCGAGGAAAAAAAAACAATCCATTTACCAAAAGTATCGATCATTTCCCCTAATGGATCGATCCATTTCTTGCAATGGTCAAATTATTTGAAAAAAATTGATCCCTTTCACAAAAGGATCGGTCCTTTGTGCATTAAATGTTATTTTTTGTTGTAGTTAATGGCTATAGTGATCCTCAACGGCTCCAAACGACTAAAGTTGATGGAGAATGTATAAATTGAAGGTCACAACATTCCAAAGTCAACAAGAACCATATTGAATCAACCTACCAGCTTCAAAGTATTATTTTGTTATTAATTTGTCAAATTCTTTATTGTAAACACACTTGTGAGCTACATTGTTTATTTTGCTCAAGTGTCAATTGGGTGAGTGTTTAAATTGTGCAAACATATTTGTCTTATGAAGTTTTCTCATTTGTTTGCTTTATTTGTATTTACTCTTTGGGAGTGTGTATTCAAGGTTTTTGGGTATAAACCTTGAAGAGGTTTGTAAGGTTACACCTTGCCCTTAAAGTTAAGTATATCTAGTGGATTTAAGAAATCCTTAGTGTGCATGCTAAGGTAGTGGATGTAGACTTTAGTTGATAAAAATTGAACCACTCTTAGGGTATTTTAGTTTCATCCACCATAAATTTAAAAGATCAATTTACCTCTTTTGGGGTATTTCAGTTATTCGTAAGAGTTAACAATAACGAGTATATACATGATTTATCTCATCCTTCTTAGTATCAATACTTACCTTAAGTACATATAACAAATGTAGCTTATTAAGAAAATAATTATGTACTGATACAACAAGGTCAATATCAATACCACCATTATAGATATTGATATTCATATTGAGTATTGAGTATTGATACAAACTCAGTTTTAATAAATATCGTCAGTATTGATACCAAATCCTTGGTATCAATACCCTATGAACAATATTTATATTATAATGAATAATATCGATACTCAATGCCCTTTTTGTTTAGATTTCTACACTCATTCAAATGATATCAATACCACATTAACATTATTGATACCAAAGACTAGAAAATGAATTCTAAGGGTCGAATATCATCCACAAAAACCCCTCTACAAGCTACTATTGAGGTCAAACGTTATTTCTAAAGTTCAAAGGGTCTATAGGATCATTTAGTGCCCAAATATCCTATGTTAAACACTAATCAAGCATTTCAAGCCACAATTATGCATAACATTAAAAAACATGCTTTCAAGTCATATTTTTTCCTCAAGTTATCTTTTTTATGATAGTCATGATACTACAAGGGATTAGACATCCATTACCTTGTACAAAAATCACTAATGGAAGCCTTGAATCACTTCACTCCAAGCTTCTCATTGCCTCTGGGTCTATATGGTTCTCTTTGCTCCATCACTAATCAAATATAACCAAAAGTAATTTCTAATTACTCTAAATGATCAAACAAAGATTAAAGATGAATAAATCAACGTCTACAAGCTCTAGAAATCAACATCTATTAAGTTTAAACATGTCATAAACATTCTTGAACTCGTATCTCCAAATATGAGCAAAATGCTACTAAAAAGAAAGCTCATGTATTTTTAAAAAAGTTTTTTACCTCGAGGAACTTAAGAATCTCACAACAAGGCTAACATTAAGGTGTAGGCTCAAAAGCGATAAGAGAAAGAAGATCAATGTTATGGAGAAGAAAAAGAGGAATTGAAAAAGAAAGATGAATCCACAGTTAAGTCATCAAAACAACATAAAACCATCTTACAAAATTCTCAATTAGTTATTTACCTTATTAGTCCATTAACCTTTGGTGTAACGACCCAATTTAGGGGCTAATTTTTTCTTAAATTTATTTTGGATATTAAATTAAAATTTTAGTTAAATTTAGGGACCAAAGTGAATTTTTAATTTATTCAAATTCAAATTTAAAAAACAATAAACCTAAAGGACTCAAGGTGTAATTTCACCAATTTTTAAATGGCATGGTTTAAAACCCCCAAAGACTGAAACTTTCCATTTCTAGAAAGTGAAAATCCCTTTTTCTCTCTCGTTTTTTTGGAAACTTTTAGCTAATAAACTTTAAACGATGTTTTATCGTCGATCGAAGCTCAATTTTTGACACCTTCGGGACCGTTGGAATCTTTGTGTCATCCTGAATCCACCAATGTTCATTTTGTCATCGTTGTCGTCGTCGTGTGGAGGGGTGAAAAAGAACAAGTTTATGAAGAGTCGATATCGAGCTCTCCGCCGTTCACCGTCCTGCATTGAGCCTTGTAAGTGACCAAAATACCCTAAAATTGAATTCTGGAAAAATTAGTGGTCGTCTGACCACCGTAGACCATTGCACGCGACCCACCCGTGTTGGCTTTATTCACCGCCTAAAGAATTTGCTAAATTGGTCGGACCGGTCTGAACCAATTGAACTGATCTAAATCAATTGGATCGGTCTGAACCATTGAGCTAAGCCGTTGATCGTTGATCGGTCGTTGAACATGCATTGACATTTTTTCGAGACCATTTATCATGATGTTTTTCAACGTCTTGAGTTTGTTTTTGGGGTTTGTTTCGCCAAATTTGAATATGGTAAGTTATTTTTCAACGTTTTATCTTCCGACTCGATCCTATTTTCGCGTTTAAGCTCCGTTTCTGACGTAATTCTTTTTGCTATATATCTTAGATACTATGAGACATCAAATTCAAGTTCAAGAATGATTAAGTGGTGTTAAATGTCTGACCGACGTGGCATAAAAATCGAGGTAATACTTTCCTATCATATGCATATTTTATGGTACATGTTGGTAATTGGTTAATGCATGAATAAATACGAGTTGGATATGGGTTATGGTTTATTATTATAAATCTACTCTGATTTTGGTCTAATGTTAGTAAATTGATTAAGACTTGAATGGCCCGTATAAGGAACTAGAGGACCAATATAAATCTTTAAGTTGAGTGAAGTCAACCTCTGAACAATAAACTCTGATTTCTCATGTTAAGAATTTTAATACCGTAAATAATTGGTTAAGAAATAAGTAAATTAACCTTAAGGTTTAATAAATACGCATATTGTCTCTAATGATGGTATTAACTTAAGAATTAAAATTTGGTCTAATAGGACTAACGATTTACTTGTTATTTCCTTATTTGTTGAAAAATTTCTGACAGACAGTTTCTAACCTCTAAAAAGGCAAATGACCTAAAAAAAATTATTTCTGATTTCTGAGTAACACTTGAAGACTACTATACCGAAAGTACTCTATATGATTGGATTGATTAAAATAACCTAAATACTCCCATGACTTGGATTAAGTGAATGACTTGAATTATGTGTTGATATTCGTCTGAGTTGTCAAAATTTCAAAATTAATCCTTATTGTTTTGAACTCTTCATTTTGAATGGGCCACCCATGTCTTCAATCAACCAATACTTCCCATAATTTCATTTTTATTTTTCAAACATCAAATTTGTCCACATTCTCTATATGATCTTCCACTGGAACGTCAGGTTCTAGATCTTTGCTATGTTTCTTTGTTCCTTTTCAATAACTGGAAAATGCCTTCTATTATATCTCTATTGGATTTCCTTTATACATTTATGTTCGTTTTCATATTGTTACCTATTAATATTTTTAG